TACGCTGGTACTCTGTGAAAGCGTGGTTTTTCCCCGGCCATGTCGGCCTTTTCGAAAACTGGGTAACAATTAAAGTAATAGCTGTGGTATAAATCTACCGCATACAGTTTCAATAAAGAAACTAAACAAATATTATTAATCAAAGCAGCAAGCCGTTAAAATAGTTTGTCGTAAAAATTACAAATTTCATCTAATTTTATAAAAGCATAAGTCATATATTTGTATAATCAATTGGTGATCCAAATAAAGAGCACATAAGCATTTATATAATAAATATTCTATATAATATATATTTTTTTACAACTGAAGGCAATTTATTTTAGATTTTGGGAGCCATACCGCACTGAGTCCAAAGTAACGATCAATCAAATTGTAAATTGAAAAACTATCCAATAACTAGTTTCGTTTTGACAAAACGATGTCATGGGCACCGACGGAAATCGATAATATACGAGCGATTTTGGCAGGTGTTTTCGTATTCGATATTTAATAGTAGGTTCTGTGTAAGTTATGTTGAAATCAAACTCATCAATAAATTCTTTAAGACAATTATAAATTATCCGACGTTTTTATCCGAAAAATCGGTGACGTAATAATTTATTTATTTTTGTAGCGGAACTGTTTAGTATCGAATATGAAATGTGCCGATACGAGTATTTTCGCGCGTATGTGGAATTTTTAGTAGAAAATGTATTCTCAATTATACTTCACAAATATTCAAAACATGTTATTTAGTTATTTTTGCTGCAAAAGGAAATGCGGTAAAATATGAACAGTTATTAATAAATTTTTCAAGAGTTATTGCAAATAATAAAATACGGTCTCCATTGGCAGCCATACATTTTTTATAGAATATGGATAACAAGCGAGCACACAGCCCTCCTGATGGTAAGTGCCATATGATAAATAGCCCATAGATATCTACAATCCATCCTATTATCCTATATTATGTGAGAGTCTGGTCCTATCTCAGTCCAGCCGACCTATTCGTTCTACAAACATAATATAGCAGCAGCATGGCTCTATATCATATAAAATGTATGAAGAAAAACATACGTAGAAGCTTAAAGTTTCTCAATGAGCTTTATGCTTTGATTTTATGTTTTTTTTTTTTTTTTTTTTTTTATAGGATAGGGTGACAAACGAGCACACAGTCCACCTGATGGTAAGTGGTTGCTGCGGCCCATAGACATCTACATCTATCTTCCATTACAAATCAAAATGCAGATGCGTTGTCACCCGTGAGGACTGAGATGGAATGCCTCATTTCCAGTAAAAAGGGTCTCCGGTTCTCTACACTCACCATACGAAATACAGCAGCATTAAGCTACTATTTCACGCTGGTATTCTGTGAGAGCGTGGTCCTTCCCCGGTCGAGCCGACCCATTCGTGCTACAACTATACTACTAATAGCATGGCTCTACCACGTATAGAAAGAATGTTTGGGGTTTCTTTGAGTGAAAAAATGCATGTCAAGGATACGTAGAGCAGAACAAGAAGAAAACATATGGCAGCTTAATACTGGCAAGCGCAGCCAAGAAAAATAAATTGGGCGATCTTATACCATAGGAAGTGAGAGCCAGATAAAATTTACAAGTAGTCGATGAATGCAGGCGGCCCAGTATCGTGCTTTTTTTCCTATTTACCGGAGAGGTCCAAGTCCAGAAGTGGAGTTGTGTGAGTGCGCTGTAAGAATAAGTGTGATGGTGATTATAATTCAGAAGACTTTTAGAGTGCTTTTTTTTTGGTGTTTTATATTCAGAAAAGTTTTTTCAGAGTGTGTAAGTATATATACGTGTTAAAACCACTGCTCAAAATACAGTTGGTAGATACTTTTCAACCGCTCAATATATCATCTCGCATGACGCGTCACCGACACGTGTGATGAACACGCGGCGGTCCGGGCTCAACGTGTGCTCTGGTTTTTTATTACCATATACACTACGGTGTTGCAACTGTAGTATTTTGAAGAATTAGGAATCATAATATGAATGGTACTTTAAATTTGGTCATATTAGTTGATGAGTCAGCTTTTCTATGCGCGAATATTTTTTTTTAAATTTTCATTCTTATTTTATTCTTAATGAAGAATTCTTATTTAAATCTTTTTTGATATCATTGGAAAGGACATTCCAGAACAATATAGTCTGAACGGTAAAGCATGAGTTACGTGAAAAATTTATTTCGTTGCGACGGTATGCGAAATTTTAGACTATTTTGAGAGATATTCTTGAGTACATGAGGTGGAACACTCATTCACAATGTGGCATGGAGTGGTAGGATAACTAGATATTATATTAGCTTTTAAAACCGACTTTAAAGAACTTTTAAATAATAAAATAGTTTCCTCATAATAGCTATAGAATTTTGATATAGACTTATACTATTTGTTAAAAGTATGAGCCTTATATTATATATATATATATATATATATATATAATATTATGAACTATTTGAGTGGAAAATCAGAAGCTCGCATGTTGACTGTAGATTTGTATTAAAAACTTTATCCCCCATTTTTTTATTCTTAGGAAAGAACATATTTTAATACTACTTTTGTTTAAAAGTTTACCATACCATTAAGTTATATTCAGGTTATAAATTTTGTATGTTTTTTTAAGAATGATAGTAAGTAGCTACTGAAACACACTCTTAGGTGGATTATAGAAATGCCTTACAGCTTATACTGGGTTTCTGATGTTTTAAATTTGGAACACTTCGTGAGTTCACTGTTATTATGTAGCAGAAATACATGTGAGTGTGCCTACAACACTTATAGATTACTATTTCATGTTCAATACGACTTATTAGTTTCTATATTTATGGGGGGGAAAGCCTATGCCCAGGTGTAGATTTTTTGTAGGCTGTAACAGGTGAATGATTATAAATTCATTAAGTTTCATTTATTTATATATATAGAAATCTACAATCATATTCTTCAAAATTAATTTCTTTCGCTTTCCCGCATTTTTTTAAAGTACGGTAAGAGTATTAGTTATGAATAACAATGAAAATTGAAAACAACCAGTGGTTTAATGAAATAAATTATATTCATTATTATTCTTGGAAGTTCGATGAAAATGTACCATACAAGTGAATGTTGGTTATTGAGTCTTATAAATTGGCCAACCCAATTTATAATTCTAAGGGATGAGGGAGGGATGAGGCTGCCATATTGTTTATTCTTGTTCTGCTCTACATATCCTTGAAACGCAATTTTTCACTCAAAGAAACCCCAAACATAAAATCAAAGCACAAAGCTCACTGAGAGACTTTAAGCTTCTACATATGTTTTTCTACATACATTTTATATGCTGTAGAGTCATGCAGCAGCTATATTATGTTTATAGAATGAATGGTTCGGCTCGACTGAGATAGGACCATACTCTCATTTAATACTAGCGCAAAATAGCAGCTCAATGATGCTGCGTTTCGTATAGTAACTGTAGTGAACCGAAAGTTTTTTTATTGGATAGGAGGCATTTTATCTTAGTCCTCAGGGGTGACAACACATCTACATTTGAGTTCTTAATTGAGGATGGATAGTAGATGTCTATGGGTTATATATCATATGGCATTTACCATCAGGTGTGCTGTGTGCTCGCTTGTCACCCATATTCTATAAAAAATATACGGCCGCCAATGGAGACCGTACTTTATTAATTGCAATGTTAGATCCACGCTGCAGTTGTATTAGTAGTATAGTTGTAGCACGAATGGGTCGGCTCGACCGGGGAAGGACCACGCTCTCATAGAATACCAGCGTAAAATAGTAGCTTAATGCTGCTGTGTTTTGTATGGCAAGTATAGAGAACCGGAGACTCTTTTTTAGGTATCTCAGATGGTAAAACATAAAATGATTTTTAATAAGTAATCTAGTAATATGTATTAATAAAAACTATTCTATTCTATTCTGTTCTACTCCGTTATACCGAATACTAAATGTAAACTCCACTATTGTATATAGGTATCCCTTGGATGGAGGAAATTTAGAATAAGCATCTATATATCGCTCCATCCAGTGTGATACCTACTATGACAGAGTTATATAGGTAATACATTTTAATCCTAGGAACGAAACGAGGCTAGCGTGCACTTTAATTTTCTTCGATTGACCAATCGTATGGATTTGCGGTTTGAATTAAAAAACATTTCGTACCATTACCAAAAAACGTGGCCAATTCGTGAGCGGTAAAAAGTTTTAGTTTAGAAAGAATTAAGATTATGTTTTTTCAATTTAAAATAAGACTGGCAAGCTGGCCAAGCGTATAGTCTACCTACGCGAAAGTAAATGATGCTGCCTACAGATATTTACATTATCATTAGGGTGGAGTGTTACACTCGTATCGGCGCCAAGCCCGAAGTCTGCTCTCGTATTTTAACAATGCGCCGGAGTGCCAATTCTTTGATATGGTTGCGATCGTCAGCAAGTATACTAAGCAAAATGTTTTCGCAGTGGCCGAAGTACCTATTACGTTGAAGCACAGGGTCAACTATTTTCATAAGGAAGGTATCTCGATAATGTATTCATTTTGTATTTTTAATCAGGTGTTTCGATCCGTACACGCAAAATGGTTTTGTTTTAATTTCAAACCACATCGGAGCATACACTCGGATGACGAAGTCTGCTAAGAAACGCAAATTATGTGCAGGTTCACTAGTGGAAACATTTCATACAACTAAAGCTGATCTGTACTGCGATCACTACGTGATTTTGAAATATCTGGTAGTATAATGCGATGGATGTGAATTGAACCACTGGAAGATTCTCATAAACCTGCAACTCTATACCAATGATGCCTGTGAAACTTCTTGGTCCTGTAGTTTTCCCAACAAGATGCTCAAACAGATGTCGTAAAGGAAGTTCATTGGCATGAAATAGACACACGAGCCATTGAAAAGGGCGATGAAGTTTCTTTTCTAGAAGACAAATGATTCCAGCCTTGTTGCCAGTGTTGACTGCCGTACCGTCGCACCCAATTGCTGTTATTCGCTTCAAATCACACTTCAACGCTAAATAAAGGTAAAGTTTTTTTTGAAATTGTGAGTGCATCTGCTGTGGCCAGTGTAATATGCCCGATGTATCGCAAATTCGGTTCTTTTACCAAGGTTATGTGCTCTTCAACAACAGTTTTTCTGCGATTATCTTTATACTCGTATAACATTGTTTTATCTTTGCGGCCATCAAACGATATAGAAACCAATGAATCATCATCATCTAGCACCTTAACTGCAGCCCCTGAACTTCTCGTTTGCGCGCGAGCGCGCCGAATTTTGCTACGATCGATAACACTTGACTTGTTACTCTCAGTAACCAGACCGATATCTTGCAACGTAGCCGACACGATGGCAGCACCAGCACGGTCTGAAATGCCGTATTTATCTAATGTCATAGCTACTACTGGGAATTTACTAGGTCCGGGAAACACAAACAGAAACAGAAACAGAAACTTTTTATTCAATGTAGATTATAAGCAATACTTATTGAAAGTCAATTTTTTCATTTACCACTGGTTCGAAAAAGAAACCTCTGTCCTTGGAAGAACCAGCAAGAAACCCAGCGGGAATATATTTTTTCCAATAATAGCTTAAAATAATGTTTACAATTAACAACACAACACAAATTAGAAATAACTTGGTAGCGATCACCCCCTTCCCAGGGGTTATTATCATCCATAAATTCCTTAATATTATAATAACCCTCTTTATACAAACTTAGTTTAATAAAATTTGACATTAATAACAGACTAAGTTTTAGTTTTCCTTCTTTTCTGCTCAGGTTCAACAATGTGTAATGTCACAGAGTTCTTTTCAAATTGTTTTTCTTTTTAACTTCCTATCAGACAAAGCTATATTTTTCAATCCAATCATCATTCTTCTTTCGCCACGTTGATCGAGAAAAAACTCGTGTTCTTGTTTAGGAATTTTACGAGTTTTCTCACAAGAACATGTCGACAACGACTTGCACTTACAAGATGGAATATCAAACAAAACGTCACAGTCTTCTTTAAAATTCTGTAGCTTCTGTTTAAAATTTTCCTTGTCTTTACTATTTTGGTAGGATTTCAGAAGGGCGCGATGTTTGTCATGGTAGGATATTATTTTTGACACTACTGTTTTATGTTGTACTATTGGTAAAGAGGCTCGTTTCCAGATGTTTTCGATTTCGGTCGCAACAATATCACAAGTAGCCTGTACTAAATCTTGTCGTTCCTATTCCGCGCATCGTGCCACTGATACAAAGACATAATATTTCATCACATCACTGTAGGTTGGCAGCGCATTTTTTGGTAATTCACAACCAGTACCGAAGATAGGCGACGAAAATTACTTCTTAAACTCATTATATTACTTTTTACGTTGTCTCATGTCAAATCTAGCTAAATCACTAATTGCGCAGAGAACGATGCGACACAATTAACCCGTGTGCCGCACTATCGCCTCTCCCCGCGGACTCCGGGCGGCGAAACGCTCGGCCAATGACCTTATATGGTAAAACAATGCGCGATTGGTAGATTAAAAATATGACGCCATAGGTAACACTGTTTAACTCTTTTTTCAATTTATATCATAGTGGCACTTGTTCATATGTGAATAAAGGCATTTTTAAAAAAACAATTTATTTAAAACCATTTTACATGTCAAGAAAGTATACCTTATTTTCGGACATTTCGAAAACTTTGCGAGCTGTGCGGCAGTAATTCTAATTATATTTTGTATTAATGATATTATACGAAAGGGTTATGTTAGTGTCAGAGTACCTTTTGCGATATCCGCCACTTCAATATTCCACAAAAAATATCCCATACAAGTGCGCTCCACCCTAATCATCATCATCATCGTAATCGTCATTGTCATCATGATCAACATCATCATTACAGCCTAACAAAGCCCACTGCTGAACATAGATTGCCTAATAGGGGGGATAAACTATGGCTTTAGGTGCCTCGCTTAGAGGACGGGTTTGCATCCGCAAATTTTTTATCTAATTGATATAAGGGAAACGCTGCTGCTTATCTCCTGGTTTGTTTTCCTATGTGGACACTTACGCACCCAATAACATGTTCGAACTACATCAATCATTGATTTATTACCAAAATGCACACGCGTTATCACTTTTAGGACGAAGAATGAATGCATCATTACTGATAAGAAAAATCTGGGCTATCTTGTTACTTACCATATTTGTTACGAGATAGTTATTGGTAAAAGATGCGTAAACACTATATAACAATTATAATAAAAGTAATTTATAATGTAAATAAAAATAATGTTCCTATAACTAATATAGTAAATTGTATTGTGGCCGTGGAAGGAAAAGGGGAGATCTCCCCTCTCTCCCGCCGGGCAAGGTGTTCTGCCCGGGGAGCGGCCAACGCTCCGTGTGATAGTTCAGAGATGTTCTATATATACTGTTTATGATTCGGAATGTTGATAGCGCGATTTAGGCTTCGGTGTGTTTCGCTTGTGGCGCGACGACAGCGCCGCTACAGTATTATTAAATAAATCGAAAAAATATTTAAATACAAGTAAACAAAAGAAACTAATTTACTTAAATTCCCTTTGTTTTTAACAGTAGGTAAACATCATTACCTTGCTCCAAGTGATTTATTACTAAAGCAGAGATTTAAAAAAAATTACGTTTCGGTTATGAATCTTATTTTGTGGGAACTGTCCGCGAGCGCTTACATTGAATGATTTACACAGTGTCAGTAACTGGCTCCAATTTCCAGGCAAGTCAGTGCTGACCCGATACTGACATAGTGTAAATTGATGTGGAGTCAGTAGATCGCTGTCGCAGTGCTGACTTTTTGTAGTCAGTCCACTCCCTCGGCTACCCGTGCCAGCGGTATGGACCTTGTCTAAACAACAAAATGATCTTGTGTAAACGTCGAAATCGGTCAGCTGGAGACCTTCTAGCGTATGCCACACGTATGGAGCAAGGCACTCGAGTATAGTGGGGAAGCACTTCCTATTTCCCTTGATGTATCAAAGGCCTTTGACAGAGTTCGGCACGCTAGCCTTTTTGGGTAAGCTACCAGCGTACGGCTTATCCCCTGGTCTGATTGAATGGGTAAAGGACTTTCTGAGTAAACGGTCTCTCCGGGTCGTCGTCGATGGCTGCTTATACGATCCTGTGGTGAATGACTTCGGTGTTCCTCAAGGATCCGTTCTCTCCGCAACTCACTGCCTGCTGCATGTTAATGATCTGCTTATGCCCGGTATCTATGGATATGCAGACAATAGCACACTTGTGATGACATATCAACCAAGTGTTCTGGCTCGTCGTGATCAAATCTAGTTCGAAAGAGAGGCTATGATTGAATGTGCGAATCTCACACTACAGGCAGTCTTCGAATGGAACAATGCCAATCTTGGGAGATTCAATGTCTCCAAAACACAAGCGTGTCTTTTCACCGCTAAAAGGAGCCCGCTCATCCTGGCTCCTACTTTCCGGAATGTATCTTTGGAGTACACTGACCGCCTTCAGTTTTTATGGGTTGAATTTTCTCCAAACCTCAACTATGGGTAGTTCATTGAGTCCAGAATCAAAGCAGCCGCAAGGAAACTTGGTGTTCTTGCAAGGGTGTGGCGTTACTTTACGCCGGGGCAGCTTCTGAACTTATATAAAGCGCAAGTCCGGTCGTGCATGAAGTACTGCTGTCACATATGGGCTGGTGCTGCAAAATGCCAACTGGCAGCGTTAGACTCAGTGTAGAAACGTGCTAAAAGGCTCATTGGTGACCTTGATTTGGTTGATACTAACCTTGTCAGCCTCGAGTAGAGGCGCAGAGTATCCAGTCTTCTGAGTGAGTACACCTTAAAGAAGTTACCGCGACTACTTACTGCGTGTAACAGTGCGAGTCAGTTCTCGGCCCTAGCACTGGCGCTTTTTCACTGACCCCGTGTAAATCAGCCTTAATATTTTTTTCATAAGAAAACATAAAAACATAAAAATGAGTTTTCAATAAAAATAATGACTATTTTTAATTGATATAAAATTTTAATTATTAACTTTTCAACGTTTAATTGATGAATTCATACAACGTATACGTTTAAATGGCGATTTTCTTACAGCGTTATTAGAATAAGTTTTAAAGTAAGTAATTGCTTTGTCGAAATGACGTCTGTGATTTGGTTGTCAAACTTCAAAAAAATGATCCGTCATCACTAGGGGCTTTAAATCGGTATAACAATGTTTTAGATTCTATAAATTTTTTAGAAGGCAAGAATTTTTCTTCAATTTAGAATGTCAAAAATTACTTTTATCAGTGTTATGCAAGCAAAGCTTAAAAGTTTTATGAGCTAATAATCTTGCTACTGCAAGAAAAATGGCCATAAGTCTAGGGTGCCAAAAGAAGGTGACAAATGTATACTATATATAGAAATAATAATAAATAAATATAGAACAAATAATAGGTCCAGTGTCGTAAGTTAGAATAATCGTTGAAGAATTGGATTTGTGCAAGGCCAGCATTATATCATTAACATTAGATACAATGATTTACTTAATACGAAAGACAAAATGAAAACAGACATTTTCAAACCGTGAAATTGTAAATTGAATCAAAATGAAGAATTTAGGTGCCGAAATATGCGAAGTCTAACCTTCTACCAGATTTAGAAAAAAATATTACTTTTCTACGTATAATTTAATCAGAAAGCACACTGGACTAAATACTACTAATAATAAAATAAAAGCAAGATAAACTGCTATTGTAAAATATATATTATAGTCGCAATAATTTTAACGTAAATCATCCATAGAAATCCGGTTTTCTTAGTTACAATAGTTTTAAAATATTTTACAATGTTTTTCGAAAATATTTAATGAAGTGTAATTTTTTCTGTGCCTAAAGAGGCACGGAAGCAAGTACACTCACACGAACGCATGTACGCAAAAAAAACACGCAAGCATGCAACACTCTCTCTCTCTTTCTCTCTGATGCATACACTGACAAACACACACGCACGCACACGCACGCATACTCACGCACACGCACATTTATACATTAAAATGCGCGCGAGCACATGTACACGCACAAAATAATCAAACACATTCAAACTCTATTAAAAAGAGTAGCTTTGTAAATTATATACGAATCACTCAACCCGTTACAACTACTTTCTCATGGGAAGATAATAAAACATAAATGTTATTATTAACAACACATAGTTCTCACTAAATACTATGCAAATTTAGTTATTGTTAGGTTCATGGCATGATAAAATGCGTTTATCCACGAACATAAATATTAAAAAAAATATTGTATGTTTTTTTCACCTATAAGAGTATAAGATAAGTATGAGATAAGATAGTATAAAATTGTGTGAAGATAATAAATTTCAAAGAGGAAACTCCCAAGGCAAAAAGCCAAGCTTTTGCTGTATT